CTATGGAAGCACCTGATCTAATTTCAAGCAAGAGTTGAGCAATCAGATCCATTTCACTACCTTTCATCTTTCAGTTCTTACTACGGTGCTAGATCGTAGACAAGTCATACCGTATTACACGGCGATTCATGAACCAATGTAGCCTAGCTGGGTACCCCGAAATACACATCCCGCTTGTATTCACGAACAAATGTAGTCTCTTCTATCAAGGGGTCTGGGTCCCGTCCAAATTTGGACTCAAGTCCCCGCACGAGTCCGGACTCAATGTGGTGCTTAGACCTTCACCATCCCCGGGACCGGTCGGTCTAGAAACCACTCCCACGTCAAGGTGTCAATGAGTCTTCTCGCTCCTATAAAAATTTGGATAATAAGTCCCTGACTAGAATCAATGCAAGTCCTTAACTCACGGGGAGGGAAAAGCAGTGTAACCAAGTGCCCGTTGGTCATGGGACCTCCACCAATATTTCCCTACTGCCCTGGGTCTCCATTTCTTTTCACCATTTATCATAAGAGTGATAATAATAATAACCTATTGAGCGGGTTACTCACGCTATCGATAAAGAGATAAGGATGAGTCGAAATATCCCGAACCGAACCGCATCGTTTCTATATTTAATCCGATCGAATCCGCATTTTTCTTGTTCGATTTTACCATTTTGCTTTCAGGATTCGGATAAGTTTATTTCAAATGTAAAAGTAGAAAATAGTTTACAATTTTTACTGCGTTTACTACTTTTCTACTTTTAATTTGAAATAACCAATTCAAAATTCGGGGAAAATAGTATAATTAGTATGCTCACCAGCTATGCCGCGTTGGTCATGGGACACGACTCTCTTATTACTCATCTCTCTTATTATGTATTTGGTCATGCACTTGTTTAATGCTATGCACTTGAACTAGATCATGCACCTGAACTTGTTATGTATTTGGTCGGCACTTGTTTTCTTTTCACCATTTATCATGAATTTTCGCATACCGGTGAGTGATAATAATTCCTTTCGAATTGGTTCGTTTCGAAATTCTAGATAGTAAGTTCGTGTTACTGTGTAAAAGCTTACTAAAACTTACGCTTTTGTATTTCGATAAGCGGTTGAGGAAGCATAGTTTTCATCCTTACACCATGACTACTCGACCTATGCTAGTAGGACTCATAGGTAGGTTTATCTATGCATGTAGTTTCAACAATAAGCCTGTAACGTAAATGCACATCACATATATATATATCCAGTGATTATTTAAAATAAGGGTTATGCACCGGGGCTTACCTTGGGTAGGCGCGGTGTCAGCTCAATCAGTCAGTGGCAGCTCCGAGGACCTCCTCCTACACGAGGATCTCCTCCTCGTACTCCTCGATCACCTCCTCGAACTCATGGTCTCCGATGGTCACGATCTCCGCCAACTCATTCTCTACATACATGCGATGATGATGCAACACTTAGTATTTTAGCAACAACAGCTCCTAAATTAAGAATACACATGGTAAACTACTAAGCTAGCTCTAATGACTAAGATACTAAGCTAACTATCATCTTCATCAAGTAAAGTGTTGAGTTCAACTAACAAACACCTAGCTTTACAAATGAAGGATATATCACATGGAAACCAATTTTACAGGAATATAAACAACAACCATTTATTTCAGCACCGGCAAAGGTGGGCGTCAATTTGACGGCATGAAATCATGAATCCCTTATCCAAATAACTGCACATGAGACCATTTCTCTTGGTGTGCATCTTGTGAAGAAAGGAGTGGAAACATACATGCTTCTCAAAAGAAAGAAAAAACATGCATGGTAGCGAACACATACAGGCTGCTAGTGATAGAACAGAACTAAAGATATTACATGATGAAGATTGCCTTGAAGTAAACTATGGCACTTGCATTGCAAGGATATGAAATCAGCTGGGCAAGGAATATTACTCCCCTAGATACTTTCCATCGGAAGAATGACATGTAACTCAAGATCATATGTGCCCAAGATGAGATTATCATAAATGGGTGCTTAGAATAGTATTCAAACTCTAGAAAAACTCGGGGCGTCTGCAGAGACTCGGAGGCCGCATAGCCCCACACGCGACTCGGAGGCCGCCGCCGCCGCTCCCCGCCTCCACCACCGTTGGTCCCCCTCCCTCCCTCTCTGGCATATCGTCGGAGGCCGGAGGGAGTGGGGATCCATCGTTTTTAATAAGCTTTTCCACTAGATCGAGTTGTTAGGGTTAGGGTCTCTCCATTCCAAGTTTTTTGGCTTTGGGAATTTATCTCTCCTCCTCTCTTCGGCGACAGCGAGAGGGCAGGGTGAATCATTTTCTCTGTGGCGGCTCTGTTAAAGATGGGGGCGACAACTACGGCGCCAGCATCCTCACCGGTATGACGACATATAGACTTTTATTTCCGCACGGCGACATCAAGGCGGAGATGGTGTCGCCGCCATGGAATAATTTTCTCCGATCTCTTCTCCGTTTTATTGTGGTTAGATCTGGCCACGATGAAGGACTAGGGAGAATAATTTTCAGATCAGTCTTCCTCATTCTTCGGTGGCAGAAAGAAGAAGACGGAAGACACCAGAAAGAAGAAGTTTCTCAACTCCGCCTACATGAATATTGGTCGTCGTTCGTTGGGCATATGTTCTCAGGTCTTTTGCCGAGTGTTTGCCTGTGCGGTCATCCATACAGCGTAATACATATTTGGTTTTAAGATCTGAAGGTATTCATAGCGTGGGTATAATTTAGATGAAAATCAGTTTCTGAATATTTATATAATACAGAGTGCTTATAACATGTTAGCTATTATATAATATAATTCTTCTTTCACGAGAAAAAAGACTCTAAAAACTCATGCAAGAACACGGAACCTATTGATGCATGGCCAGTACTAAATCCCACATCCAACACAATATGCAGCACCTGGTCCCTACATGTTGTCCTTAGCGGTCCATCCAATTTAATTCGGTTCAGCTTGCGGGCCTCACGTGTCGAAATTTTCGGACGAGGTGAGAACAACCTCCGGTTTCAACTGGGAGTCCTCGCAGTCGCGCGTGCTAGCTGCGGCCGCACAACGCTGCCTGGTGGCGGGCTGTTGCTGGCTAGCTAGTAAAGACAGAAAGAGACACCCGGAAGTCCCAGCAAGAGTTCTTAAACTTTCTCCTAATCCTTGATTTTTAGAAGAAAAAAATAAAAAAATTCTTTGCAACAACTTCTAATACAACAAATATTTTAGAAGTTGAAAAAATCCTCTCGTCCACGAAAAACTACGTGGACTCTCGTCACGTGGAAAGAGGTTCCTTTGCCTCGTCCATCACCAGTTCGCGAGTTCATTCGCGTCGTCCAACACTCACCATCGAGGGTAGATGACGACGCGGACATAGCGACGAGGTACGTACTCCATCGATCTTCCTTGTTTTGTTGTGGGCTTGTTGCACCACCGCTGTCGCCGCCACCGCTAGGTTGGCCTTGCCCGCAGTCGGCTGTGTGCTTCTTGCTGCCGCCGGGATTGCCGTGGATTGCTGGCGTCTAGTTGATCGAGCTAGCGTCATGCGTGTCCAGCCTAGTTGCCTCCGAGATTGCCTGACGAAGGACGGGCGCGAGTCGCGACATTTTGCGGTAGCGTGCTAGTAGTAGTATATGTCTTGATGTACATCTAGGCATGAGTAGCAACATGCGGATCGATGATCCATCTCGCGATGCGGTGGTCGAGTCGAAAGGGCAAGCGGTGCATTGTGTGTGCTTGACTTCTTCTCGTTGATTATCTTGAATCGATGGTTCTCTGCGTACTCTTTGTGATCCTAGTAGATGGCGGCAAACTTCTGCTCATTGTCGATGGCTAGCTTGTTCCTACTACTAGGCGATATCTAGTCGATGCACGCGCATGATTCTTTGGTGGTCTTGGGTGCGCTAGGAGGTGGTCACGCCATTTGAGACTGCAGGGCTAGGGCACAAGCCGCACGACGAAGGAAGGAGGAGCAGCGGTGGCGTCGAAGAAAAAAAATCCAAGTGGCACCAAATTTTAATTTTTAGAGTGGAATATTGGGTACTATTGGAGATGGATTTCTTTTTTCTTCCAATATCTTTTTAGGAGTTGAAAAACATGGTGTTTTTAGGAAGAAAATTTAGGAAACTCTTGGAGATGCTGAGAGAGCATCTCCAAGAGTTCTCTAAATATTTCTCCTAAAAAGTCTATGTTTACCAATTCATAAAAATGTTTTAGGAGAAAAAAAGAAGTTCATCTCCAATAGTTCCTAACTTCTAAAAAATCAAATGCTAGCCCCATTTGACGTTTTTTTCTGCAGTCTTCTTTTTTTCACGCGAACCTCTTCATCGCCGCACATATCCACGCCGCCGTCGCCTGCATCCGTCATGTTACCCTAGCCCAGCAGTCGACAACCAGGCAAGCAGGCAACAACGGTCGGCCACCAGGCAAGCAAACAGAGCATGCATACATTACCATACAAGCAAGCAGGCGGGTAGCAACCAGACAAGCAGGCAACCGTAATCAAATGATGGAGGCCATGATGATACGATCGGCGTATTCAGAGCTGAGCTGAGCTTGGGGACCCCCCCCACCCCACCCCCCCCCAGTAGGTTGAGAGATACAGCAGCTGCAGCGGCACCCCCGCCCCGCTGTAATAATTGCTGGGCAGGGCAGCTACTCGCGGAGCGAGGAGGAGGAGGGATACATAAATAATGGCAGACCGAGTCGTCGTCGTCGCACCCGTACTTCTTCGCTAGTTGCACACACAGCACCAAACAGAGTACGTGTGCTCCTCCAGCTGCTGCTGAGACAGAGAGAGCAGGCTCCTCTCCTCCAACCCGGGATTCCCTTGCCATGCCATTCCCATGTGATTGATGCTCTTCCTCTCATCCTCCTCCTCCTCCTGCCGTAAAGGTTGAGCACGCTCGCCGGCGCAGCGACCTTCCTCTCAGGGTCAGGGTCAGGTTCAGGCTTTTAGCTCTCACATCACATCCAATCCCAGCCAAGGCCGCGCTCCACCCCAGCCCGGCGATGGAATCTGCCGCCGTGGCCATCGTGACGGTGCCGTTCCCGGCGCAGGGCCACCTGAACCAGCTGCTGCACCTATCCCTGCTCCTCGTTGCGCAGGGGCTCCCCGTCCACTTCGCCGCGCTGGAGCCGCACCTCAGGGAGGCTCGCGCGTGCCTGCACGGCTGGGGCCCTGGCCCCGACGCCGCCCTCCCCGTGGCGGTGCGCTTCCGCGTGCTGGACGTCCCCGCGCGCGAATCCCCCGCCCCGGACCCGCGCTCCCCGTTCCCGGCGCACAGGCAACCGCTCTTCGAGGCCTACTGCGGCGGCGCGCGGGCCCCGCTGGCCGCGCTCCTGGCGGAGCTCGCCGCAACGCACCGCCGCGTCGTCGTCCTCCACGACCGCATGGCGGCATTCGCGGCGGCCGAGGCCGCGCGCCTGCCCAACACCGAGTCCCTCGGCGTGCACTGCCTCGCCGCCTCCTACAACGTCGGGTGGGCGGACCGGGAGCACGCCCTGCTGCGCCACCACGGCCTCGTCTTCCACCCGCCCGACGCCGCCGCCCTCCGTGCGTGGCTTGTCCGCCTAAAGTTACGCGGAAGGGGGATTTCTGAAGTCCTAAAAGATTAGAGTAAATATTAGGAGTTGTTGGAGAGAGATTTTTTTCCATCTTTCTAATAAAACAAAGATTAGAAGGATGTTTAGGGACTCTTGAAGATGCTCTAACAAACTTCCTATCCTGGTTAACGAAGAACTCGTCTGTTCGCTGCCCTTGCTTTGCTTCTTCGTCCTCAATTCCGATTCCTCTGCTCCTCTTCCTCCCTGCTGCTAACAGAAGCCTGCAAAGCACGGTAAAATGTGGGCCTCTAAAATGGATGTTGGATAGGTGCAGTGTCACGCCGATACAAAGTAGGAAAATGTCGGTCTCCAACAGTATGTTTGGTTCCAAGGCCCTACTGGAGTCGTCTTCCCAAAGAATCGAGACATGGGAATATAAAATGTGATAACACTACTGATTTAGCGGCATTATCTGTTACAATAGGTTCGTTTGGTATAGATCCTCCTACCATTCTAGAGCTATTATACACGTTTGCGTACGAAATGGATAAAGAAACTGCCGCTCCTCCTGTGAATCTCCGAAAAATCGGGTCACACAAGTGCCCGGTGGCTAGCGAAGCTGAAAGAACTAGCTTCGCCCAGCTCCTCCATAGGGACGCGCGGCCCGTGCGAGCAAGGCACGACAGACGTAGACGCCGGTCGCTAGAACAAATGGGCCGGAGCATGTGTAGTCGGTCGTCGTGGAGTCGCGTCTAGGTGGAGTAGCGTGCGGTTGCGGGGGTAGCCGAGCCGGAGCTGGAGTAGCCGGCCAGGGCGAAGTTGCGTGCAATCGAGGGGGAGCGGGGGTGCACGGCTGCCATGGCGTTGCGGTCATTAGGTCTTCAGGCCGGCGAGGCACGCGGGCGTGCAGGTAGGGCCGTCGATGCTGTCACGTGGAGGGGCCCGGGCGCCGAATCTTCAGCCAGAGAAAGGTGCATTCATACATAGCCCCTTTCGAGCGGATAAGGGGACAAGAGATAAGAACAAGAAGGACGAGAAAGAAAAAAAAAAGGAAAAAAGTGATGTATTTTTTATATTTCACATTTTTAACTACCACGAGAAGCCATTCTACTTATCGTTTCACCAAAACAGCTTTCTCCTCACCGGTGAAACTGCTGTGGAAGTTATCAAAAAAGTTGCTTCACCAATGAACAGAGCCACCTGTCCAATGGCCGCACGGTCATACACTTCACTCCACATCAGAGATAGATTGCATAGCTGCACAAAAGCACAAGGGTTCCTAACGTATTTTTGAATTTTCAATTAGCCTTTTTCATCTGATTATTTCCTTGCATAGCTGAGTTGAAGGGGTTTTTTTCTCTCGTGAACCTCTTCTCTGCATGTCAGCTTCTTAAGCTCCATTTTCTTGCAAGAATTGCTCATAAATATCTCTAGTTAGCTCTTCTCCATCCCTCTTTTCTTACATAAATGTCCATAGATATCTCTAATTAGTTCATCTTTTCTATTAATTTCCTTACATGGGTTATTCACTTCATCTGCTGTTAACCTCAGCAACAAGTGAGAACTCACGCTTTGCTGCCACGCCTCCGTGGTCTCGAAGCTAGCACGGCGACGTGGCATCCAAAACAAAATAAATTTTAATTTAATTATAATTATCTCGATGCTTTAAGATTAGTGTAACTTTTTCAAAGAGGACCACCGGAGCAAAACTCAAATGTTGTTTAAATAAAGAACTAATAGTACAGCAAACAAACTAGCTACCTTCGAATTTGTGCGGGCCAACTTGTCTTCAACACAGACATAAAAGTTTTAGGGTTAATACGAACCATGCCATATCAAATGTCACGGTTTGGAGATCAACCATTACTATTAGTCTATTTGTAGATATGTCATTATAATTCAACCTCCGTTTGAACCATGCCATTTTATACGTCTTCGGTGACATCGGGTCCATGTGCAGACGTATGTATCCCACTACATTTTTGTATGTTCCAAAATATCCCTATACTCCCTCCCTCTCTGTCTCACTTACAAGCGGGCCCATCCTGCCATCCCCTTCATCTCCCTCCCAATCCATCTTCTTCCTCGCTCTCAATCTCCATGGCCATGCCTGGCTGTTGCCCGCGCACCCCGCCGTTGACAGAACTCCGAGGACCGAAGGATGCGGCGGTGGCGGCTCGTGCTCACCATGGTGGGCTGCACCCTGGTGGCGGCGGGACGTCCGCTCCATGAGGCCGTGATATGGCAGGTCCAAGACATTCGCGCGCTCCATGGCTGGCAGGCGCAGAGCCATGATAACGATGCGGGCAGGAGGCGACAAAGGCAGGTAGGAAGGCGCGGCCTTGGTGGCGAGATTGCCGTTGCGCACAGCAGCAACGGGGGTCAGCGTGCGGTGGGGCAGTGTGTGGCACATAGGCGACCTCGAGCGAGGCGAACGATGTGTGGCATAGAGGCAAGCTCGACAAGGACAGAAGGGCGGTCCAGTCACCGACCGGAAGGTCTAGCCGAGGAGGAACAACGCCCGCTTGTCAACTGCTTTGGCCCATCTCTCCGACTGGAGCGCTCACTTCGGCCCACCTCTACGACCGGAACGCTCACTTCGGACTCCAGTCGCCTCTGACAGCCTCTCCGATCGGAAGGCCAGGCCCAAGGACTACTTCCGACTCCGACCCTGCGTCTCCGATCGGGGTTCGCAAAAGCCCTGCTCACCGCTCTTCTCCGACTGGCACAACCAGAGCCGACTGGGACCAACTGATAGCGGACGCCCGCTCAGAAAGGACCAGGGAACAAACGGAGAAAGCCAGGCAAGGCGCACAAATCAAACCACGATACCAGGGACCATACCCTGTACGCAGGAACAGTACTCTGCAACCTCCCTGACACACACAGTGTTGTAGGCGCCGACATTTTCCCTACAGTATTGTGGGCGCCATTGACTCCCATACGGTAAGGCTCCCCCCACGTGCCTTTGGGCATCGACAGTGTTGTGGGCGGCGAGATTTACCGTACCGAGTGCACATGGTGAAAGTCCTCACAAGCCTCTGGGCAACAACAGTGTATGCAGGTACCGACATCTGCCATACCCAAATAAGACGACGGACCTCCCATGTGCATCTGACATCCAACAGTGTTGTGGGCGCCTACCATCATCCTGTACCCATCGGCGTGGGCAACAAGGCTTAGAAGCATTCGTACTCTCTCCCTCTCACTTGTAAGGCCATCCCCTTCATCTATAAAAGGGGATGCGCTCTCTCCTGGTAAAACAAGGTTGATTCAAGCTCAGTCCCTTTAGATTCATTAGATCGACCAAGTTCACTAGTCCACAACCACAGAACCACTAGTCCCTTTAGATTCATTAGATCAACCAGGTTTGGACCTCAAACAAACGCTTGAACACTTAGCTCATAGCGAAGCTTCTATCGCTCTTGGCCTTTCCGACCGGAGTCCGACTGGACCTCTCGTGCACCCCATCTTTCTCCTTGTTTGTAACCCCACTGCAGACTTCAAGCACCTGGGCTCAGGAATAAAGTCACCGACTGACTCAAACTGGACGTAGGGCACGTTGCCTGAACTAGTATAAACCCTATGTCATTGAGTGCTAGGCTACCTCCGATCACAACGTACGCCAAAACTACAAATATTTACTAGTTGGTCACTTTCTGCACCGACGGTTGGCCAGAAGGGCGATCCAGTCATCGACCAGAAGGTCTGACCTTACGACCTTGCAGCTGCCCATGTCTCGCCTGGACCACGCCACTGGAACCTTCATTAAGCTTAGATGCATCCAGGATTGCCTAGCTTGGTCTTTGGAGTATTTACATATGTGTCACATTTCTAAGAAGGAATTAATCATCTTAAAGCTTGACTTTGAAAAAGCTTTTGATAAAATAGAACATCAGCTCATGTTACATATAGGGAAAGTATTCCACTATAGAAGAGGTGTTCGTCAAGGAGACCCTTTACCTCCATTACTCTTTGTCTTGGCAGCAGATTTTCTTCAAACTTTGCTCAATGCAGCTCAAGTTTCTGAGGATCTCCATCTCCCTTTACCTCTGCAGCATGATCAAGATTTCTCCATCTCCTTTTCTCAAGAATATCTTACACCGGTTTGTAGAGTCTATAGGTCTAAGAGTGAATTTTGACAAATATTTCATGGTGCCTATCAATGTTCCTGCAGATAAGTTTCATATGCTTGCCAACACCTTTGGCTGCTCCAAAGGTTCTCAACCGTTCACATATTTGGGTTTACCTCTGAGCATTACTAATTCTTCAGTGGCTGACTTCTAGCCAATTGTTTCAAGATGTGAACACCGACTCATTAGCACTGCATCTTTCCTAAGTGAGGCAGGTCGCTTGAAAATCACTAATGCAGTACTCACCACCCTTCCCACTTTTGCTATGAGCACTTTTCTTTTGCCAAAGACAATCATCAAGCAGGTGGACAAATTCAAGAAGCATTGTCTTTGGTGAGGCTCTGATGACAATAATCGTAAGCCACCCAGGACAGCTTGGCCTATGGTCTACGTTCCGAAGGATGAAGGAGGTTTAGGTGTTCTGAACCTTAGAACACACAACGAGTGTTTACTTCTTAAGCATCTGCATAAATTTTACAACCGTTAAGATATCCCATGGGTTCAGTTGGTTTGGCACCTATATTATACAAATGATAGACTTCCCAAGCTTTCTGCAAATTTTCGTGGTTCCTTATGGTGGCGAGATCTTCTGAAATTCTTGGACTCTTTCAAAGGTATGGCGACGGTGTCAGTCAAAGATGGCAAGTCAAGTTATTTGTGGTTACACCTCTGGAATGGAAGATTACTGCTCCAAGATTATCTTGAGTTGAACTCATTTGGCAAGAATCAGTTTATTTTAGTTAATGTGGCTAAAAACATATCGGTTCTTCACTCTCTTTTCCACTTACCTCTCTCCAGCGAAGCTTATGAGCAATTACAGGAGCTACAGATCCTGTTCAACAATACGCATCTTATTCAAGATCCTAATCAATGGACTTATCTATGGGGCTCGTCGATCTTCTCATCAAGGAAGGCCTATGGAGTCTTGCTTGGTCATCATAAAATCCCACCTGCTTTTTCATGGCTTTGGAAGTCCGTTTGCCAAAACAAGCATAAGTTTTTCTTCTGGCTAGTGCTAAAAGACAGATTGAGCACTAGAGATCTCCTACAGCGGAAAGGGGTGTTTCCACCAGATTACACCTGTGTGTTTTGCTCATAGAATAGTATTGAAACTTTGTTTTGCTCTATAGTTTTCAGACGACAGCCGCGCCTTCCTTTCTTCGTGGAGATAATTGTTACCATGTGCTGGTCTATTTGGACGACCAGAAATGATATCATCTTTAGGGGTTTTTAGGTTTCTTTGCAGCGATGCAAGACCATCTTCAAGTTTGAGTTTGCTCTAGTTATTCTAAGAGGAAAAATCGCATATCGTCCTTTAATTGATTTATGGCTAGAAGTCTTTACGCACTTCTTCTTGTTTTCTTTGTAACCTTTTTTTTCATGAATGATGCTCTGTATCGGATTTTGTATCTTTTGCAATAAAATCACGGTAGGGCCCAAAACCCCGCCTCTTTCACTTAAAAAAAACACGCAAGAACATAGCGGCCGTGCTTCACTTCTTGGGTATCACCGCGCCGTGGTGGAGCGCCTCGGCGAGCCTCTGCAGCGCTGCGTGCGACGACCCGCCCTCCTCCACGGCCTTCCGGCACACGGCCTTCATATCCGCGGTCTTCTCCCTCGCCCTCCTCCCCTGCTCGCCGTCGGCGTCCATCAGGGACCGCACCGCGCGCTCGAGCTCCGCGGCCTCCACGAAGTTGTCCCGCTTCCTGTCCACCTTGAGCGGCACGGCCACGCCCATGTCGGCCACCAGCTCAAACGCGTTCAGGTGCTGCTCCGCGTAGAGCGGCCACGGCACCACCGGCACGCCGTGCCACAGGCTCTCCAGCACGGAGTTCCAGCCGCCGTGCGTCACGAAGCCGCCGACGGCGGGGTGCGCCAGGATGTCCTTCTGCGGCGCCCACGTCGGCCACACCACACCCTTGCCCTTGGTCCTCTCCAAGAACCCCTCCGGGAGGAGCTCGTCGAGATTCGCGTCCGTCGGGTGCTCCGACCCGTCCGGGGCGCCGGCGCCGGACGCGTCCGAAGGTGGGCCCCGCAGGACCCACAGGAAGCGGTGGCCACACCGCTCGAGCGCCGCCGTGATCTCCACCACCTGCGGCGGATCGAACCAGCCCATGCTCCCGAAGCAGAGGAACACCACTGACCCCGGCGGCTGAGCATCCAGCCACGCGACGCATTCGTGAGACGGCGAGCGGTCGCCGAGCGACAGCACGGGGCCGATCGGGTACACCGGCGGCGCGGGGCGACCGGGCACGCACCGGCCTCCGGCGACGGCCGCTAGGGGCCCCGGCTCGAGCTCGTCCGCGGTGTTGGCGATGATCCCCGTGGCGTCCATGAAGCGATCGCCGAGGCGCAAGAACCAGGCGTAGTTGGGGCTCTTCTTGTCCACCACGGGGCACGGCATGGACTCCGGCGGCACTGGCGGCAGGCCCGGCACCTCCACCTCCCCTTCCACCTCGTCGAACTCCACGGGGACGGACTCATGGAGCACGGGCAGGTGCAGCATGAGCGCGAGCAGGGCGCCCGTGGACGACATGAAGACGTAGGACGGCACCCCGAGGCCCCGCGCCACGTCCACCAGGGGCGCGGCGAAGATGTCGAGCACGAGCGCGGCCACGGGGCACGCCATGGCGGCCACGGCGTCGCGGACGTGCGGCGCGTGGAGGCCGATGTACCGCGCGATGAACTCCTCGACCCCGACGGCGTCCGAGGGCGCCTCCACGGCGGGGAGGCGGTGGAAGCGGATGTCGAGCCCGGACGCGGCCTCGCGGCGCACGTGCGCCTCCACCTCGGAGGTGGCCTCGGCGGTGGGCGGGCGCATGACGAGCAGGGTGATGGAGAAGGCCTTGCCGCCGCCGCCGCTGAGGAGGACGCGCTTGCAGGACTCGAGCATGGACATGAGGTGGCCGGAGCCCCACTCCGGCAGGAGCACCAGCGCGGGCGGCGCCATTGGAACCGTCGGTGTAAGGCTGTAAGCGTAACTTCAACTTCACTGCTTTTCCTTTTGACTGCTGCACGGGTGCACGGCGAGTTCCACCGTATATAGCTAGGATGAAACGAATGTGATTGCAGATTGCTGAACAGCCAATCGACAGTGACTGGCACTGATTCGGCGGTGGAAGGTGATCACCCACCCCCACCCAGGGATCAGTCCCCCAGCAATCGCATGACAGGATGGGCGAGCACGGGACTTGGCACCGTGCTTTCTTCAGCAGATTTGGCACAGCGCATCACTTTTCTGCGTAGACCTGGTCTCGTTAGGCACGCATGTGGCCGAGTGATGCTATCGCGAGGTATCGCAATTCATTCGTAGGTGTCGCAGCGCCGTTGAAGCCACGCTGCAACGCTCCAGCTTGGACCGTGGTCCGTGGCTGTCGAAGCTTTTAGGTGGGAGTGAGCTGGTCCTCTTGTCATTGTCTGAAGGTCCGTGTCAAAAATGTTTCCACCTCCACCGGGGAAATCATATCCGCTTGGCTCTCCGGCCGGCGTGGAATTGCGGAGGTGGGCGCCGGCACAAACCCGGCAATGACTCCACCCACCATCCGAGCAAATCTATAGTAGTATCTTTTATGAAGCTAATGGCTGCTAGAAGCCTACCTTAATGTTGGAAAATGGGATTTCCAGCGAGTAAGGATTTGGGAAACCTTCGCCTAATCGGTGCCCTAGGCGAAGGCTCGAGGGGTGGAAAGCGGAAGGTCTTCGCCTAGCCGGATGCCCTAGGCGAAGGTATGGAAAGTGGTAGGTGGGCCCAGGCACAATTAGGATTTCATAAATGTATACACCAACCTCCGTTTATAGAATTTGTACCCCTTTTTATAGGGCATTGTTTGCTGTTATTTCTCTTTACATCTTTGCCCTTTGACAACTGTAGTACTTCATCGGAATATTCCTATGCTATCACATGCTTCCAAGGGTAATCCGAACATCTTCTTCCTCAACCGCCCCTGCTTGCTGGGCTGCCGCTGAGAGCCCATTAACGGCCCACGATCCCATGCCACCGCCTGTGCGGAAGCCCATCGAGCTTCCCGGACCTCGGCTTGGGGCGCCCTTACCAAGGGCCTTCGCTCCTGCTGCACGAGCCTTCGCCCTCGGCCGCGCCCAGACACCTTCGCCGCTGCCTCCAGGCCTTCGCCCGGAATGCCCAGTCAAGCGGAGGTCTCTCACCTTTTCCTGCACATTGTCCAAAGAACACTCGGACTATTAGTTCGTATTACTTATTGTGAACTTGGGCCTCTGCGGCTTCGTAACTGTGTCCCAACACTTAACATGCAAACCATTCACATTATTTCGCACTAACTATCTACATCATCTCCTATAATGGACATGGCACTCCACTAATTTTTGACATCTTAATTGCAAGCTATCCACGCACATTATCTGTACTCAATTTTATTTCAAGTTCTTCGCAATCTCTGCCAGGTAGAAAGTAAGGCCCTGTTTAGTTTAAAAAAACTTCACCCCAAACTGTCACATCGAATCTTACGGCACATGCATAGAGTATTAAATATAGACGAAAAAAAATTAATTGTACAGTTTGGTTGGAAATCGCGAGACAAATGTTTTAAACCTAATTAGGCCATGATTAGGCCATGGATTAATTAGGTTTAATAAATTCGTCTCGCAGTTTATAGGCGACCTATATAATTAGTTTTTTTATTAGTATCCGAAAACCCCTTACAACATCCCCGAAACATCTAATGTGACATCCAAAAATTTTCATTTCGCGAACTAAACACACCCTAACGCGGGGTCCTGCGACGCTTGATCAACGAACAGCAGCAGGCTGCAGCCTAGTGCCAGACTGTCATGTAGCGACCATGACGCTGATGACGCACGGCAGCCCGCGGGCCGGACGGGGCTGGCATGCGCTGTTCATACAAGGAAATCCATTTACGAAAAAATCGTTGGGCCAGCTACAAGGTAGGACTTGAAAGCATGGTCAATCCATGCTCGAAAAAATCGTTGGGCCAGCTACAAGGTAGGCCTTGAAGGCTTGGCGGGCCGACCAACGTGCAATTGCATTGCTGGCCTGCTCTATATATAAACGGAACGAAGGCCTGAACAGTGGGGCCAAGGGGCCATAGCGTAAGTCCACCGCAGAGGTGGAATTAGGTCGTGAGTCCACCAGAGGTGGAGAATTAGGTTGTATATGGGCATCTAAACCCAAAATGAGTTGAAAGAAACTCAAAATCGGCCTTTAACAGAGTACCTATACGGGAGATATATTTTAGGTTGTCTAAGAGACACAACCCAAATATGAGCATTCTCTCTCTTGAAAACTCATTTGCACAAAAGATTCTCTTTTGGGTTCTGTTTTTGGAGAAGATGTCGAATGGGTATTGAACCATTTGCCTATAACGCTACCCAAACGTCGAATAAGTCTTGTATTTTGGGTGTTGTTGTTGGAGATAGTCTAAACCAAAAACAAGTTGGAGTCAATGAAATGGAGCTAATCATTTTGGTGGATCGAAAAAACTCCAAACAAACCCATTATCACCAGTCTCTCAGGCCACGTGAAATATGAGCAATTGTGCCTCTATCATTTTTGCCTCGACTTGAGTACATATAGATGGGTTTCGCAGATACAAGGAAAATTTGCCGTTGAGGACATGCAATTTCGCTTTCAGCGGCTCCATCGGCTTGGTGGTCACGCTCTCGACCTCTCGCACTGTAGGCACACAGCCTTTCGGACCATGACGCGTGAGCACCAACACCCATGCATATGCATGATAAATAAGCAGGGTTGCTATGCTATAGAAGACAACAGAGGTTTTCCCGTTAGAAAAATACTCTCTCGATTCCAAATTTTAAGACATTCTGGCTTTTCTATTCTAGATATATAGTTTAGTAACTGAGGAATGAACTAAATTACGGTGTGGCAAGATGGTAAAGTAGCTAACATAGGTAATGTAAGATTCAAAATTAAAATTGTTCTATACACATGCAAATGTATTGATTTTCATTTGCCAAGTACGAAATAATATATAGGCGAAAGTGTGTTAAGAGCAGAAATTTCAGTTGATTTTATATTATAAATTGGCCATCTACAAGACTACAATAATGATACAGGCACTTAGGTAGGGATGAAGACAAGCAAGCAGGCATCACACGCCGTCCCTCTATAGTGCACTCTCCATTCGAGTTCTTCCTCTATCGGCCATCTCTCGTGGCGAGCAATGGAGGAACGACTACTTGTCCGGCGCGCAGCTAGCGCCTCGAATGGGAGAGCCGGTGCGACGCAGCGCCTGATGGAGAAACAAGGGGCTAAGCGAGATGTAGTTGCCAACGGTACGGTGGTGTCCCTCTTGACAACGGCGGTGGACGGTGGGTGCTGTCGGGCATGTGCACGGTCGTGGTCTGCCGTTTGGGGCCAGCTACAGCCAGTGCCGGGTCTTCAGCAAGGACGACAAAGTCTAACGTATTGCAAGTGGAACTAAGTAGTGTTGGCGTTGCCACTGACAAGATGACCAAAACAAATGGGGTGTGATGACATGGGGTCCGCTAATATTCACGAGTGATAGTGTCAATTTGATTTACCGGGACAAATATGTAGAAACACAGTGACATCAAAAGACACAATATTTGTTGACAAGATTGAGCAAAAGCTTATATTCCAATAAGCATAACTACGGGCACTCATCTCTAAACCCCCAGCACGTACAGGGTCCTACCAATACAACCTCCCTCATGTGAGACTGTCGCAACGTCATGTGGCTACAGGAGCAACTCTGCTCTCATATATATATATATATATAAAGTAGACCAGTTTATACAAAACTCTGACTTTGATTCTACCTTATGTTGAATTAGAATTCAGACTAACATGATCTTAGCTTAGCCTAAATATGATCACTAACTCTAACTTTGATTCTACTATAGATTGGGGCTTGATGCTTCTAGTTGGTGAAGAATGTGATGTAGATCTGCAACAGTACCCGGACGTGGATAGACGACCTTCCTAAACCCTCCGGCGCCTAATAGATCGGTTATGTGAATAGTCACGTGGATTAGAGAGCTAGTGACACTAGGGGTGCCTCTCTTATTTATAATCGCGTTGTGGATCAGGGGCCGAACCCTTAGAATTCTAAGGGTTGCCGCCGATCACTAGCAATTCTTATTTAGTTGGAAATAAATGATGAGCGGGTGGACCAAAAGCTTAACGCTTAATTAATCCCGTAATTAAGTTCGGAATTAGCCGAACCGATCACATTCCAACACCTTATACTGCTATATATAACTCAAGCTAACTAACCGATTTCTAAATAATATCCAATACATATCTGATGAGACAGCGTTCAACTCCTAGTTCTCAGATGCCCTCTTGATGCAAAGTTCAACATCTATAGTACTTCCGTGGATCCGCTAGCTGCGTATGCCACAAGAACGTGTGGCGCAAAATCATCCACGGCATGTGGTTTGCAGTTATATGATACCGAGGGTGAAGGGTTAGCTAGACCAGTCATGCATACATACACATGGTGTGTGTAGGAGACATTAATTCCCCTCCTTCCATTATACTCCGTATTGCGCACAACGAAGATAGCCTCTGCCTGACTGCCTACATCAACGTACGGCCGGGAATGGACCTAGCTAGGGCAGAAAACCAGACTACAATTCGTCCGTAGTACATTCTATCCACCCACATCACATGTTGCACAACAGTCGTCATGCACACAAGAGCTAGTGCGATCGGTAGGTTGTCTAGATCGCGGCAAGTTTTGTGTCCTCGCCAGACAGTGTCAAATGGTCAAGGACCATGGGGAAGGTTAACGTCCTTCTCCCCAAGTCCACTGTCCACCAGCCTCTAGGTGAGCAGTCGGCCGCGGCTTTCAAGCTGTGCATGAGGTAGCTGGTAGCGTGTAGCCCACGAACCGCAGGATCGATGATGACCTGCGGTGTTCATGGCAGCTTGGAAGCGAGTACAGTACTATTAGAATCTTATACAGCGGT